AACAGGATGGTCTCCAGCTCCATCCATTTTCCTGCAATTGGCATAATTCCATTCTTCTGTACAGCTGAATAACACTGTGTTAAATGCCACATTTCTCAATCCACTCATCAGTTGACGGCTTATTCCAAGTCTTCAATGATTGGTCATGTTGCAATGAACACCGGCACACGGGTATCTGAATGCTCACTTTCATTTCTTCAGGTATACCATATATCAATAATTTTAGTTTCTTGAGGAACCTCCAATACTCATTTCCACAGGAACTGTAATAATTTGCATTCCCACCAACATACTTCATCCATACTTCATCACCAGCATTTGTAGTCATTGGTTGCTATCAGCCATGCTGACTGGGGTGAAGCAGAATCACAGGGTTGTTGTGATTTACATTTCTTCAAGGGCTTACTGGCCATGTGTACTTCCCTTTTGAAACTGTCTATCCATCTGCCAATCATTAATTGGATTATTTGGTCTTCTGACACTTGAGCTCTTTACGTATTTTGGATAGTAAGCTCTTGGTGATGAATTGCTGCCAAAGATTTCTCTCCTTTCCTCTAGATGATCTCATGGCTCTGTTTCTCTTGATAGACAGAACCTTTTTAACTCATGTAATCTCATTCATCAACTCTTGAACTATTGGTTAGGAGTTCCTCTTCATGCATTTGTGTGTGTCTGTGTGTTATGTGCACAACGTGTATGTTTTCAAACTGATTTTTGTAGATAGTGAGCAATAAGTCTGCCTTAGGTCTCCAACATGGGGATGTCTGGTTTTCCCAGAACCATTTGTTGAAGAAGCGATTTTCTCTCCAACTCATGGTTTGGGCACCTTTGTCAAGAATAATGGGCTAAGGCCAAGCACCAGTGGCTTATACCTGTAATCCTAGATACTCAAAGGCCTACAACGGGAGGATTATGGTTCAAAGCCAATCTAGGTAAAAGGAAAGTTTGAAAGATTCCAGCTCCAACTAACCAGCAGAATGCTGAGCAAGCAAACCAAGTAAACACAAAGTTCTGAGTTCCTGAGTTCAAATACAACAAAAGCCAATTTTTTAAAAAAAGGAATCCGGTAGGAATCACTTTTTTCTGGGTCATCTATTCTATCCCACTACTATATATTCTGCTTTTGTGCCTGTACCAGGCCTTTTTATTTTCTTTTTTAACTATGACTGTGATAGAAGTTAGGTTAGATTGTACTCAAAATTAACTTTTTAAATAGACTAAGGGTCTGAACAGACATTTCTCCAAAGAAATACACAAATGGCCAATAAGCACACAAAAAGACATTTAACATTATGACTTATCAGGGAAATGAAAACAAAATGACAAATAATCGACACACAGCATTGAGGATGTGAAGAAATTAGAATTCTCATACATTGGTGGTAAAAATGTGAAATGGTGCCACAACTTTTGAGTATAGGTTTGTTTATTCAAAATACTAACTACAGAGTTCCCATATGACACAGATCATCCACCATTCCTATGACAAAGAAAAATGAAAATAAATGACTATTCAAAAACCTATGCACAAAAGGTCACAGCAAAAAGTGGAAAGCATGGGCTGGGAAGATGGCTCAGTGGTAGAGCGCTTGCCTTGCATGCCTGAGGCCCTGGGTTCGATTCCTCAGTACCACATAAGCAAAAAGAAAAAAGCCGGAAGTGGCGCTGTGGCTCAAGTGGTAGAGCGCTAGCCTTGAGCTGAAGAGCTGAGGGACAGCGCCCAGGCCCAGAGTTCAGGCCCCACGACCAGACCCAAAAAAACAAAAAAAAAAGTGGAAAGCACCAAAAGGTCCATCACCTGACAAACGCATAAACAAGAGGTAACAAATCCAAACAACGGAATATCAAGAATAAAATACTCCTACATGCTACACTTTGGCTGAGAGAGCATCATGAGAATTGACAGAAGTCATTTATGGAAGTCTACAAATTGCCACTTCAATTTACATGGAATATCCAGACTATGCAAACCAAGACAGAAAGTAGACTATTGGTGTCCTAAGGGTAAAGTAGAAAATGATGAGGGAAATCAGAGAACAATTGCTAACAGATAATGAAAATGTGCTATGACTAAATTGTGGTAAATACTGGACAACTCTGCCAATATCCTAACAATTACACAATGTAAACCTGTAGTCTGTTATTATCAGTAAAACTGCTTTAAAACACTTGAGTTTGTTTGGGAAAACATTCCTAACTATTCTGATAGAACCAACTATAGACACATGTATAAACCACTAAATTGTTGACTTAGTGATCCTCAGAGTTAGGTACTCTATTTGTATTGTATATTTGGCCAAAAGAAAAAATATATATATAATGAACTCTTCCAAATCAACAAAAGAAAAATTAATTTTGAAATGGAGAAGGAAGTGTTCAAATTCACTTGTCATCAAAAAATGCAAATTAACATCCTTTATATAGCCTAAACGGGTGGTTCAAATCTATAATCCTAGCTACTCAGGAAGCCAAGATTTGAGGATCACAATTTGAAGTCAACCCAGGTGAACCTATGAGACTCTTACCTTCAATTAACCAGCAAAAAGCTGGAAATGGAGGTGTGACTCAAGTAGTAGTGCACTAACCTTGAACAAAAAAGCTCTGGGAAATCACCCAGGCCCTGAATTCAAGCCCCAGAACTGGCACAAGTGAATAAGTAACAAATACCCTCTAACCTAGAGATCCTATCTTGAGGTCTACACTGAACACAAAAGACAATATTCAGAGACACAACCTACAAAAACTACCATGGTACCAAAGTGAAATGCAAAAACAAAACTAAGTTGTGGTACAGTTACACAACTACAAATAAATTATAATCAGATATATGATTTCACAAGCTTTGTTGAGTGAAACTCAGCAATGACAAAACTAGACAAAAAAGAACACATATTTTACATGTTTACTTGTTCAAAACTAAGCAGAAGCTCAATTGTTTGAAGACAGATAGTGGCTTGGTGGAGCCAAGAGTGAGAAAAGGCAAAGGGTGGACCTGGAATGCTAGTAAAATTCTGTTCTTAGGCGGGATCCACACGTGTTTCCTAAGTGTGTTTAGTATGAAATGCACTGAAGGTGCATGTACGACTCTATACGCCATTCTGTGTGGCTAACCCTCAATTGTAAATGAAAACGAATCATCCTGTACCAGATTTCACTAGCTCAGTCTGCACCTCCTCTATCCCAAGGCATGACCTGGCCAAGTGATGCCCACTTTTCCACACCGGTAAGTGTACAAACTAGCAGTCCCAAACCAGAACTGTTCACCTCAAAGCAAGCATGTGAGTGAATGTGGGAGGAGGGAGGAGGGAGAGCAGGCCGGAATACAACCCACTTCACGAGGGCCGGGCGGGCCCCTGGGCAGCAAGCAGGCCCCATCCTCCCCAGGCGGGCCCGAGCGGGGCTTCCCTCCCGGCTGGGGAAGGGTGACCAGTGGAGGGTGGGAGCCTGGGGTGTGGAACCAGGGGAGTCGGGTTCCAGCCACAGGGAGCAGGGCTGGACTCAGGCGAGGCCAGGGCAGCGAGGGATGGGGGGGCGGGAGGGGGGGAGGTGGGGAGAGGAGCCTGGGTAGGAGGAAGACAGGGGAAGGGGAGGGGGGAAGCGGGACTGGCGCAGGGCTGTGGGGGGGGAGCGGGGCAGGGTGCGCAGGGCACTGGGGGGAGGGGGAATCGCGAGGGGCACTGAGGGGGGAGCAGGGCAACAGGGGGGAGAGCGGAGGGGGGGGTCGCGCGGGGCACGGGGGGGAGAGCGGGGGGGGGGGAGCGGGGGAGGGGGGGTCGTGCGGGGCACGGGGGGGAGCGGGGGAGGGCTCCCCGCGGGGCACCGGGAGGAGGGGGGGGGGGAGGGTCGCGTGGGGCACCTGGAGGAGCGGGGGAGGGTCGCGTGGGGCACCGGGAGGAGCGGGGGAGGGTCGCGCGGGGCACCGGGGGGAGCGGGGGGGGGTCGCGCGGGGCACCGGGGGGAGCGGGGGGGGGGTCGCGCGGGGCACCGGGGGGAGCGGGGGGGGGGGGCGCGCGGGGCACCGCGGGAGGAGTGGGGGGCGCGCGGAGCACGGGGGGGAGCGGGGGTGGGGCGCGCGGGGCACCGGGGGAAGCAGCGGGGCACCGGGGGGAGCGGGCGGGGGGCGCGCGGGGCACCGGGGGGAGCGGGGGAAGCAGCGGGGCACCGGGGGGGCGGGGGAAGCAGCGGGGCACCGGGGGGGCGGGGGAAGCAGCGGGGCACCGCGGGAGGAGTGGGGGGGGTCGCGCGGGGGAGCGGGGGAAGCAGCGGGGCACCGGGGGAAGCACCGGGGCACCGGGGGGGCGGGGGGGGGGGCGCGCGGGGCACCGGGGGAAGCAGCGGGGCACCGGGGGGAGCGGGGGGGGGGGTCGCGCGGGGCACCGGGGGAAGCAGCGGGGCACCGGGGGGGGGGGGCGCGCGGGGCACCGGGGGAAGCAGCGGGGCACCGCGGGGGGAGCGCCCCACTTCGCTGCCCGCCCACCCCGCGGGGGACGCGGAGCGCAGCCAGGGGCGCCGGAGCCGGGGGCCTTGGGCGGGGCCGGCGGAGAAGGGAGCGGCGGTCCAGGAGGGCCGGTGAGTGGCGGGGCCGCGGCGGAGGCCCGCAGGTGGCGCGGGGCAGGGGGGGCGCGGCGGGGGACGGGGCGCAGGTGCGGGAGGAGCGGGCCGGGGCCGGGGCGACGGAGGAGGAGCGGGCCGGGGCCGGGGCCGGGGCGGAGGAGGAGCGGGCCGGGGCCGGGGCGGAGGAGGAGCGGGCCGGGGCCGGGGCCGGGGCCGGGGCGGAGGAGGAGCGGGCCGGGGCCGGGGCCGGGGCCGGGGCGGAGGAGGAGCGGGCCGGGGCCGGGGCCGGGGCCGGGGCGGAGGAGGAGCGGGCCGGGGCCGGGGCCGGGGCGGAGGAGGAGCGGGCCGGGGCCGGGGCCGGGGCCGGGGCGGAGGAGGAGCGGGCCGGGGCCGGGGCCGGGGCCGGGGCCGGGGGTCGGAGGAGGTCGGGCGCGCAGGCCACGCACCGTGGACTCCCGCACTTGGCTGTGGAAGTGCTGCTCCCGCGCCGACACCTCGTCCTGCCCTTCCATCCTCCTTCATGCCCGACGCCGCGTCCGCGCGCCCCGCCGCACCATCGCCCGCCCGCCCGCGCAGGGCGCCCGCGCCGGAGCCGCGGCGTCCGCCGCCGCAGGTGCCGCCTCGGCGGTGGCAGAGCCGGCGACTCCGGTGCCGCCTCCGCGGTGGGCAAAGCCGCAGGAGCGGCCGGGCGGAGGGCGGGCGCCGGCCGGGGCGGGGCCGGGGCGGAGACCGCGCGTCACTCGAAGGCGCCGCGCGTCAGAGCGTGCCCTGCTTTCCGGAAGGCAGCCGGTGGGGCCCGGCTCCAGGTGGGCGTGGCATCTTCGTGGGCGGGGCTTAGCTTTGGACTTAGCCGCTCCGAGGCCTCCCGGGCCGGGGGCGCGGCCTCTTCGTGGGCGGGGCCTAGCCCCCGGCTTTGCCGCGCTCTGTGGCCTCGTGGGCTGTGGGCGGGGCCCGCGTGGGCGGGGCCTCCGTGGGCGGGGCCTGGCTCCGGGCGGGCGGCTGCGGTCCCCGCCCAGTAGGCGGCGCCGGCTTGAGGCGGTTCCACCGAGGAGCGCGTTGGTGTGGCTCGCGGCCCAGCGGCCCTGGCGGAGAGGGGCGGGGTCCCGCTGCCCGCCCCGGAGACTCAGGCAGGGGCCCAGGCAGCCGGGGTGCCGGACCGGGTCGCGACCTCGGTCCACATGCAGGGGGACCGGGCCAGGTCACGACCTCGGTCCACGTGCAGGGGTGCCGGGCCGGGTCGCGACCTCAGTCCACGTGCAGGGGTGCCAGGTCACGACCTCAGTCCACGTGCAGGGGGGCCAGGTCACGACCTCAGTCCACGTGCAGGGGTGCCGGGCCAGGTCACGACCTCGGTCCACGTGCAGGGGTGCCGGGCCGGGTCGCGACCTCGGTCCACGTGCAGGGGTGCCGGGCCAGGTCACGACCTCGGTCCACGTGCAGGGGTGCCGGACCGGGTCGCGACCTCGGTCCACATGCAGGGGGACCGGGCCAGGTCACGACCTCGGTCCACGTGCAGGGGTGCCGGACCGGGTCGCGACCTCGGTCCACGTGCAGGGGTGCCGGGCCAGGTCACGACCTCGGTCCACGTGCAGGGGTGCCGGGCCGGGTCGCGACCTCGGTCCACGTGCAGGGGTGCCAGGTCACGACCTCGGTCCACGTGCAGGGGTGCCGGGCCAGGTCACGACCTCGGTCCACGTGCAGGGGTGCCGGGCCGGGTCGCGACCTCGGTCCACGTGCAGGGGTGCCAGGTCACGACCTCGGTCCACGTGCAGGGGTGCCAGGTCACGACCTCGGTCCACGTGCAGGGGTGCCGGGCCGAGTCGCGACCTCGGTCCACGTGCAGGGGTGCCAGGTCACGACCTCAGTCCACGTGCAGGGGTGCCAGGTCACGACCTCGGTCCACGTGCAGGGATGCCAGGTCACGACCTCGGTCCACGTGCAGGGGGGCCGGGTCGCGACCTCGGTCCACGTGCAGGGGTGCCGGGCCGGGTCACACCTCTGTCCACGTGCAGGGGTGCCAGGTCACGACCTCCGGTCTACGTGCAGGGGTGCCGGGCCGGGTCATGACCTCCAGTTTACATCCAGGGCAGCCGGGCCAGGGTCGCGACCCCCGGGTCCACGTGCAGGGCAGCCGGGGCGCTGGGCCAGGTCACGACCCGAGGTCTTCGGCCAGGTCAGCTGAGGTTGGTTTCTGTGGTCAAGCAGGAGTGGGAAGGAGAGGGTCTTGCTTTGGGCTCTTTGATGGAGTCGTTTCCGTTGCTGTTGGAGGAAGTGGAGCTGTGGCTCACGTGAGCAAGCTGCAGGGCAGCGCCCAGGCTCTGAGTTCAAGCCCAGGAATTGCTGTTGGAGGTTGGGGGGCCTTGTCCTGGCTGCCGCCGCAGAGAACCAGCCGGTAACAGTCTCCGCTGCCTGAGTTCAGTGTCACCTTCATGGGTCTTCAATGTCTCCAAAGCACTAGGAAAAGACAGCAGCAGTACCCACGTCTGCTTTTCTGGATTCCTGTGTTGAAGGGGCTGCATACCTACCTGAAGCGATCTGGACCATTTCTAGGTTAATCTCTCCACACCAGAGAGTAAGCAGATCAGATGTTAAGCATTTAGACACAAATCCCAGAAAGTGTGTGCCTGTGCTGTTTACATCTTTCTAATCAGACATTGCAGCTTTCTAAGCTGTTAGAGTTTGTGCTAGGCAGCTCTTCCAGAGGTTGTCCATCTTCTGGGAGTTGGTTCCTTGTCTTTGGAGCTCTAACAATCCAGGATGGTAGAGCAGAAATGGCCACAGAGTCACCACTCCCTAGCCCCTCCTCACGCCTCCCTCTACCATCTAGTTTTGCCTTCCAAGCAGAAGTGGAACCTTTTGCCCACCCTTGAATCTGGCTTTCACTGTGTAACTAGTTAGGCACTGTGAAGCTATTAGCAGTGTGTGAGCACAGAGCTTGCTCTTCCCTGGAATTGTCCAGCAGCCGGTGTAAATGAGCCGCCAGCAGGCCAGACTCAAGTGGCGAAGTCACGTCTGCTGTCTCTGCCCACACCTCTTCCCACATCCCCCTCCAAGATCCTCCTCCTAAATACACTTGTCATGCAAGACTCTGGGGGCCAAAAAAAAAAATCCTGTACCGGCTGTAGTGGTCAGAGAAGACCTGACCGCTAGAGACCGGACAGCAGGTGAGGGCAACACAGTAATTCAGAGTCTGCATGTTGGGTCTGGAAAGAGCCAGCCCGGGTGGTGGGCAGACTCTGGGTCACATAGCAGGATTCCCTGTCACACAGAGTGTGTGAAAAGACAAAGGACTTGGGAGCACTCCTCAGTCTCTGACCTTAGTGACTGCAGAAAGACGTGGTAGTCACACTCTGGCCACCAGGACAGATGGCTTCACTTCGCAAGAGCACGGACGCGTTGTCAATGATGTCTGCCTCCTGAATGCCTAGGCCAGGTGAACCTAAATGGGGTAACGCATTTCTCTGTTGTGTCATCCTTCTTCTTCGTACCTTATGCATTTTATGTAATGCATAAGTGATACCTCCTTAATATTTAATAAAGCTGTTATTTAAATAAGCACCACTGTCTGGTTGCCTAAGTTGTGGGTTCTACAACTTGGCCCTTGCTTGAAAAAAAAAAGACATTTTATATTTTAAATTGAAGGGCTGGGAAGGTGGCTCAGTGGTAGAGCGCTTGCCTTGCATGCCTGAGGCCCTGGGTTTGATTCCTCAGCACCACATAAGCAAAAAGAAGCCAGAAGTGGTGCTGTGGCTCAAGTGGTAGAGCGCTAGCCTTGAGCTGAAGAGCTGAGGGACAGCGCCCAGGCCCAGAGTTTAGGCCCCACGACCGGACCCAAAAAAAAATTAGATTGAAATAAAGTATGCAAGGGTTTGGTACCCCAGGATTCAGTTCTACAGTGGGTCAGCTGGGTGGCCTTCGGGGCCTCGGGTACATTAACGATGCCAAGTGCTCCTTCCAGCTCAGACGCTCTCTCTCTGGATCCACTTAGTCTATTTTCCGTTGTCATAGCAGAGTACATGAGACTGAAAAGTCGGGGCACTGCACTTACTAGGCAAGCACTCCAACACTTGAACAGTTTTTGTGCTGTACATTTGCCCTGGGCTGACTTCAAACTGTGATCCACCTACCTCTGCCTCCTGTGTAGCTGGGAGTCCAGGTCTGTACCATTATGCCTGGCTTGTTTAATTTTGTTCTTGGCTGGTTCCATTTGCCAGTACTAGAGTTTGAATTAGTACTCAACTGGTGCACTAGCACTTGAGCCCTGCCTCCAGCCCAGACTTTGCTGATTGTTTAGGAGATCTCTAAAATAAAAATCCCTAAAAGTCTCACAGACTTTTCTACCTAGGCTTTGAACCATGAACCTCCTAATTTCAGCTTCCTGAGTAGCAAGAATTACAGGCATAAGCCACTAGTGCCTGCCTCCAAGCTCGTTTTTTCGGTGTCTGGATAATTTTTGCCCAGTTGGCCTCAAATCCTCCTATTCCCCTCCAATGTGTATCTGGGATTCAAGCGTGTGCCATCCTGCTTTGGCCTTGCAGTGCTGGAGGCTGGGAAGCCCCAGAGCACGCATGCCTCCAAAGAGGGCTCCGACTGCTCACCTCCATCCTGACTCCCAGCCCTCCCGGCGAGGCCGAAACCGGGCTCCTCCTCCCAGCAGCCTCCGAGCTGGTACCCAGGCCCTTCTCTGCATCTGTCCCCGGGTGGATCCCACATGATAAGTAAACCAGAGGTCCTGTCCCACCACCCAACACTCCGATCGCAGAGACCCCAGGACCTGCCTCTGCCTGCCTCACCCCCTCCCTTATTTCCTGCATGCCCGAATGCCATTTTCCCATTCTGCCCAGGGTTGGAGCTGTCTCCCCCTCCTCCACCATCCTCACGCCTTTGTGCCAGAGCTAGCACGCTGGAGGGTCCATGGCAGACTCCACAGCCAAAGCACAGCCCAACCCCGCTCGGACAGTTTCCCTCTACCTGCCTGGCTTTGCACCGCAACAGGCCATGGAAGTCCCTGACAGGTGGGTGTGTTCTTCTGCCCACACGGTCTGCACATCTGTGCTGTTCTCCAGCCCCAAGCGCAGCCCAGAGCCCGGCACACACTGGAGTAGCGTAAGGGTTGGATAAGAACGGGTTTAAACACGCAGATGACAATCCAGCCTCACTACACGGTGGCTCAGTGGTAGAGCGCTTGCCTTGCATGCATGAGGCCCTGGGTTCGATTCCTCAGCACCACATAAGCCGAAAAAGCCAGAAGTGGCGCTGTGGCTCAAGTGGTAGAGCGCTAGCCTTGAGCTGAAGAGCTGAGGGACAGCGCCCAGGCCCAGAGTTCAAGCCCCACGACCGACCAAAAAATAGTGTGAAAGTGAAAGAGATGGGGAGGTGGGCCAGGGGGGAGGGCACTCTGTGGGTGAGGGAGGTGGGGTATGGGGGCACTCTGTGGGTGGGAGAGGTGGGCCAGGGGGGCCACTCTGTGGGTGGGGGAGGGGGCAGGGGGGCCACTCTGTGGGTGGGGGAGGTGTGGCTGGGGGGGTACTCTGTGGGTGGGGGA